TACCTCTTACAGGTCGGTGACTTAAAATCTGGTACCTCTTACAAGTCGGTATGCTATTATCAAACATCTGTAAGACGTAGAAGGGTTAAAGTACTAGCATTTGATTGTGTTATAATCTGGTACCTCTTACAGGTCGGTGAGCTGAAATCTGGTACCTGTTACAAGTCGGTATGCTATAATTAGACATCTGTAAGAGTTAGAAGGATTAAAGTACTAAAATTTTATTGTGTAAATATCTGGTACCTGTTACAGGTCGGTGAGCTGAAATCTGGTACCTGTTACAAGTCGGTATGTTATAATCAGACATCTGTAAGAGGCAGGAGGTTTTAAGTACAAACATTTGATTGTGTAATAATCTGGTACCTCTTTCAGGTCGTTGAGCTGAAGTCTGGTATCTGTTACAAGTCGGTATGCTATAATTAGACATCTGTAAGAGGCAGGAGGGTTGAAGTACTAGCATTTGATCGTGTAATAATCTGGTACCTCTTACAGGTCGGTGAGCTGAACTCTGGTACCTGTTACGAGTCGGTATGCTATTATCAGAAATCTGTAAGAGGCAGAAGGTTTAAGTACTAGAATTTAATTGCATAAATATCTGGTACCTGTTACAGGTCGGTGAGCTGAAATCTGGTACCTGTTACAAGTCGGTATGTTATAATCAGACATCTGTAAGAGGCAGGAGGTTTTAAGTACAAACATTAAATATTTGATTGTGTAATAATCTGGTACCTCTTTCAGGTCGTTGAGCTGAAGTCTGGTACCTGTTACAAGTCGGTATGCTATAATTAGACATCTGTAAGAGGCAGGAGGGTTGAAGTACTAGCATTTGATCGTGTAATAATCTGGTACCTCTTACAGGTCGGTGAGCTGAAATCTGGTACCTGTTACGAGTCGGTATGCTATTATCAGAAATCTGTAAGAGGCAGAAGGTTTAAGTACTAGAATTTAATTGCATAAATATCTGGTACCAGTTACAGGTCGGTGAGCTGAAATGTAGTACCTGTAAAAGATCGGTTCGGTTTATTCATGTATATGTATCTGCGAGGCACAATGTTTTATTTAATTGAATCAAGAATGGTTAAATATCTGGTACTTGATTAGGGTAGCTTAAGTGCAATTCCATACCCTTTAGCAGTACCTAATTGATGTATGAAGGTTCCTTTCTGAATTATACCTTTTACATATACACACGCAGTCCCTATAACAGATAGTTGGCTTTTTACGCCGGTATCTGTTGTAGAGATAGAAATTATCAGATCCTGATTCATATTACTACTACATAGGCAGCTTCATAACCTGATGCTTATCATATTTAATAAATGAACCAACTTGAAGATTTTACAGGTAACTTCATATTCTGATATCTCATACAGGTAAGTTAGTACCTGTAAGAATTAGGATGATTCATTATTGTATGTCACACCTGTTTATCCGTTTCTGTCTGTTTTCTTCATGCATAGGCGTCGGAACCAGGGGGTTGAGGGGAGGCTTAGCCCCCTTCCCCCACACTTTTTTGCAAATATATACTAAATTTAGGCATGCATTGAAAATTGGAGTTTACCTTTTTTGTTGGTTCAGCCTACCCCCCCCCCTTTCAATTAGCCCCCCCCCCCTTTCAATTTGCTTCCGAGGCCTATATCATGTTTAGGATCACATTCATACGTATGCTTTCTTTTTTTATTCTTGAGGTCTTTTTTTTTTATTTCAGTTGCATGCAAGAAAAGTTCATTGCCAAGCCATGCCTTAGAGAAATGTTCTCATTTATTGACACATTTTCATGACGCCCTATATTTGATAATAGTCGGAAGAAACATTTCAATATACATGTACATCTATCATTCATCCAGCTACTTCGCGAAAAACTTTGATATGACACACGAATTAAATCAATATCTTTCGCTCTATGTTCCGTAATGTTTTCGCTGCATTTACACATAGCTTTAAATAAAACAATTTCAAACTGTTCTGGCTCATTGTATTGATCTCGAGACGTGGAATAAATTGACATTTTCCTCGAAAATATTTTGTGTGCGATAATGATACTTTTTAAAAATGCCAAATAGAAAATAAAATGATTTCAAGTGCTTATAGGAATTAAATACTGAAAATTGTTAAAACAGTTCGAATAAAAAGTTTATGTTTGAAAAAAAATCTAATTATAAATGATTAATTGAAATATATATCATATGCCGTTAAAGTATTGCTGTGAACGTTTTTGTTTAATTATTGCATTTATGTCTACTTCAAACCAATATATGCAAAAAATTTTAAATCGACATATAAAAGACGCATTCCTTTCATTAAATTCCTCGTCTTGCATTGACTGGGTTTATCTGTGTGTGTGAGTGGGGGGGGGGGGGGAGTGGAGGGGGGGGTATCTGTAAGTCTGGAAATCGCGCGCCTCTCCCATTTTATTCAGGATGTGATCTCTAAGCAGGGCAAATATGTACTTATAAATATAAATTATTTATAGTACTTAACGTCAATTTCTTTCTAATTTTTTTAATTAATTTCTTTGGAGGATGTTCTGTAAAAAAACCTTTGTTTTCTATTGAATATAATTAAAATTGTTATGTCGACCCCGCCCCCCCCAACACCCACACCCTCCCTCACACACACTGAGTTTCTTTCCGTTTTACATATTTACATAAGCAAAAATACGTGACACGGTTTAGTAGCAGTTCAAGGGTATACAAACGTAAACAAAAACATATGTAAGGCGCGCAGAGCGTAAACCAATCGCGCTGTGGCTTTCAAGTGTGCTTTCGGCACTTGCCGAGTTTTCAAGACATTGTAGTTTCTAGCGCGTCGTGTAGTGACTGCTATATATACCGTGATTCTCGTCGTGATAGAGCATTTCAGAAGATTATCTACTGAGAGCTGAACTATGTCTGGACGTGGTAAAGGAGGAAAAGGTCTTGGAAAGGGGGGCGCTAAGCGTCACAGGAAGGTCCTGAGAGATAACATCCAGGGTATTACCAAACCCGCCATCCGTCGTCTTGCACGCAGAGGTGGAGTCAAACGTATCTCTGGACTCATCTACGAAGAAACCCGTGGGGTCCTGAAAGTTTTCCTTGAGAATGTCATTCGTGATGCTGTCACCTACACAGAGCACGCCAAGAGGAAGACTGTCACAGCCATGGACGTTGTCTATGCCCTGAAGAGACAAGGACGTACCCTCTACGGATTCGGTGGTTAGATAGCCCTATGAACATTTGCTTTTGAAGAAGCAACAACAAACGGCCGTTTTCACGGCCACCCAAATTCTTAGAAAAGATGCCTCTAAACAGACGTGTAAAAAAGAAACGTGTGTGTTAATAGCTGGGCAGTTAGTTCTATGTAAAATTATTAATTGTCAAGAAATATACCATATGTTACTGGAATTAGGCATAACATAGTTGGGTTACTATTCCTGCAGTTACTTGTTCACAGGGTAGGGAAAACAAAACAGTAGTTATTGTTTTATGTTCTTATAATCCGATTATAATTTATTAACATTTTATGCCAATGTCTCATTTCTGATCTTCAAAGAGGGGCCCAGGTTGAGAGAGACCCCCCCCCCCCCCCCCCATTGTTAAAATCCAATTGATAATCTCCAAAGACACATCGAGTACACACGGCAAATTAAATGACATGTAGGGGTTAGCTATCGTTACATCTTTGTAATACTTGTTGATCAACGAAACTTTATAAAAATAAAATAAAAACAAAAAAAAAATCAAGAGCCCAAGTAGTGCTCTTCTGGTCAATTCCACTCTGACAAGGAAGCAAGAGTTATCCTTCTTGTTATAGGCTTCATATTCCTTGAAGTGATTAGATGCTGATTTTCCCTTAACATTTAACACTTTTAACAATATAAAAATTATATTAAATCACAGTTGCCTGTTTTTTCTTTTTGATTTTTCTTCACTTTATTATATTTGCATCCAAATCCAACACATGGTACAACAACAATGACATGGTTATTTTTCAAAAGAAACAAAAAAATATACTTCTGAAAACCAGCATGGTTTAATAATGTGATGAATCTTGGTCCTCATCCATGTGGGAAACAAACAAATGCACATGCACACACATAAAAAAACAAAATGTTAAGCGAGATGACATTTTTATAGGCTAACGTGTGAAACACTAGTTCCTAGGATTCATATATTTATTTATTTCATAACATAATATATACATATCCCATATCATCCTTGTACATTTTCCAGTAGAAATAATGAATGCTATCATAATGAATTTCTAACATGCAATGCATTTCTTTTCTCTTTCTCATACTTTCCCCTCAGTGAAAAACAATTTATCAATAAATGAAGACCTTTTCTCATGCTCTCAGCTTTCATGTCCTGTGAAGATAACCTGTAATGGGTAACGTTGTTTTTATTTTGTTTTTGTATTGTTGAAGGGGTTACTCTTCGCCAGTACACACGATAAGACATGTATTAAGACAGGTAAGTATAAAACTCGTTTTATTTTACAAAAATCTTATGTAATACACTTTACAGCTGACTAATAACATTTTTTTTTTTTTTTTTTTTTTTTCAAAAAAATGTTTTTAATTATTATTTTCCTCATGATATGATTCTGTATAATATATAAGAGTGTCATATTAAAGTGTATATTACATATTCAAGTATTGTCATACACAGTGTATGTAAAAACTCCTTTCTCTTTTCTACACGACTCAGACAACTGCAAAATATTTGTATAAATTATGATATCATGGTACTTAGAGAACTAAAACAAAAAGACTCAATGAATTATCTCAGAACACCAGTGAAAACTGCTTTCAGAGTAACAGCCTGTGAACTTATCTATTTTCATTGATAGTTGGTTGATTCACCATTCTTGTTACAGTGCTACAGAATATTACTATGCTGCCTAAGTATCATCATTTAATAAATACTTTAATCCAGATCCCAGACTTACTGTGTGTACTGGCCCTAGGACAGATTTCTTTTTAGTATGTGATAATCATGTTACTGAATTTTTCTGTGGGGCCCTTGATTTTTTTTTTTGTTTGTTTTCATTTATTCATCGTCTGTAAATATTTAATGTACATAAATGAAGGGCATTAAATATTCAAGTATTCTTCTGAAAATGTGTCCATATGTGTCTAAGTGAGTTTTTAGGTTTTACAAAACATTAATAATTCTTAATTGTTATTGTAAACAAAGGCAACAATTTAAATCTAATGCTACTTAGAAATAAATAAATAATTGAACAAGGTAAATACAACCCATAAACACCTTATATACACATTCGTTTCTCAAGACCGTAATGCAGATATCTTTTCGAAAAATTTGGGTGGCCCTGAAAAGGGCCGTTTTGTTTTGATGAACTACAAAGTTGCAGTTTACTTGCTGCTGGTGTATTTGGTGACAGCCTTGGTTCCCTCAGAGACGGCGTGTTTGGCCAATTCACCGGGCAGGAGGAGACGGACAGCGGTCTGGATCTCTCTGCTGGTGATGGTTGATCGCTTGTTGTAGTGAGCGAGACGGGAGGCCTCGGCAGCGATTCTCTCAAAGATGTCATTGACAAAAGAGTTCATGATGCTCATGGCCTTGCTGGAAACACCAGTGTCTGGGTGGACCTGTTTCAACACCTTGTAGATGTAGATGGCGTAGGATTCCCTCCTCTTCCTGCGCTTTTTCTTGTCCCCAGTTCTCTGGGCCTTGGCCTTGGTGGCTGCTTTCTTAGCTCCTTTAGATCCGACTTTGGGTGGCATGTTGACAGAATGTTTACAAACTGAAAACTATGAGTGTCGATTCGCGCTTCGCTGCTTTTATATCGCACGGACGGATAACGGCGGACAAGTACAGTACGAACCCTCGAGAAAACTAGTGTTGTTCGGCGCGCGACAAAGTGTGTAAGATACGATCGTGCCGATTGGCTACTCATTTCAATCCGCCTGCGTGTTTAAATAGGGTCTCGAAGGCAGTTTATGTGTTATTCGTTGATTTCATTTCTTGAGCGTCAACTACTCGTAACTATTCAAAGATGTCAGGACGTGGTAAAGGAGGCAAGGTGAAGGGAAAGGCCAAGAGCCGATCATCCCGTGCCGGACTTCAGTTCCCCGTGGGTCGTATCCACCGTCTGCTGAGGAAAGGCAACTACGCCGAGAGAGTGGGAGCCGGTGCCCCCGTGTACCTGGCCGCCGTTCTTGAATACTTGGCCGCCGAAGTCTTGGAGTTGGCAGGCAACGCCGCCCGCGACAACAAGAAGACCAGAATCATCCCCCGTCATCTGCAGCTGGCCATCCGCAACGACGAGGAGTTGAACAAACTGCTGTCCGGCGTGACCATCGCCCAGGGTGGTGTCCTGCCCAACATCCAGGCCGTGCTCCTCCCCAAGAAGACCCAGAAGTCCGCCAGCAAGTAAAAAGTCTGTCTACGACTTTGAAATAAACCAAACGGCCGTTTTCACGGCCACCCAAATTTTTCGAAAAGATGCCTCTATATAGGAGCATAATTTAAGAAACGAAATGTGTGTTACTTTTCAATGAATGCTGCTGCTACTATTATGTAGAGCACTATACATGAGATGCATTTTTCCCCAATCAAGACTGCAAATTCACATATACATGTACAGATCTATGCCAAAAGTGAAGCAAATGGTCACTTTTTGTCCCAATTTCATATTTTTTTTATATTATTTAATCCAGACAATGTGTAGTAATTTTATTTTTTGAAAAAGCTCATTAGATATTTAGATTTAAGTTCATCAGTTGTAAAATTCAAGATGGCCCGGTGGGATAAAAAAGTTTTAAAATACAAACATCTTTTTGGGAAATTTGAATTTTGAACATTTAAGGTAAAAATCTAAAATGTTAAAATTAATTGTAAAACCTGTTTATTTAGAAATTTGAAAATTTAGGTTTTTGAACTAAAAGGTTAAATTTCAATATACCAAACCAGTTAGAGTTTTTGAAATTTAAATATTTGAACTGTTATATATACATTTTAAAACTCAAAATCATTTCTAGAAATTTGAATTGTTAAGTGTTACACGGACCCAAGATCAGTGCTGACTTTGTAATTCAAAGTGAGTATGCATGTTACTTAAATTTTCATGTCGCACTTAAATTGAAATATTTTTAACATATCGATGCTGATCAGATTATTGAATTGTTGTCACACCAGTGATTTTACAAAATGTCGTTTTTTTCTAAACTGAAATATAAGGAGAAAAAATAAAAGGGTCATATTAAAGTGAGGTGTAATACTGCATTTGTACGCTATTTATTACATTGCAAATTCCAAGTTTTAAATTAAAATTTGGGAAATAGTCTTGTCTCAACATCCTGAACAAAATGATACACAAATCACTGAGAATAAACTGTGAAATTGTCAAGCCAAACATTTCTAACCTCAGATGACTATGATTTCCCTAACAAATTAGAGTCTTAATTTTTTTATTTTATGGTGCTTAAAAAATGAGCTACAAATAACACTACAATAATATTTTACAAAAATACAAAAATCAAAAATTTATCGAGAAAAATTTTAAAATTGTTTTATGTTTTCTATATATAACTGACTAGATGTTTTTCTCGCTCTTTTCTTTTTCTTTATGTGCATGTACTTGTCTATTTCTTGACCCTTGACTGTATTTGTTGTTTGTATATATGTATATATGTATATATGTACTTCTTGTACCAGTGATCTGGTTCTGAGTGAATAAAGAATTGAATTGAATTGAACAAAAATCCATTTATCAAACCACATTTTATTTTCCAGAATTGTGTTTGCAGTTTGTTCTGCATATTAATTTCACAACTATTTTCTGTAATTGTGTGATCATTTTAACACCTGTTCAAAACAGAGATGTGTTGAGTATATTCTGTTTAGACGTTTTAGCATTTTTTTTTTCTTCGCATGTCATCTAAGAGTAGGTGAGTGATCTATTAGAGTGACATGTGTTAAAAGTGAGAAACATTCAATGCCAATTTTGAAGTAGTTGAAACACCAGGGTCATTGGAACTATGTGTCACGTTCATATTAAGATGTATGATATATGTAGTACATAAATAAAGTATAGAAGGGAGTACATGCAGGAAAAGAAATTTGGGGGGAAATCGGAATCGTGGTAGAGTTTATCTCACATGCAATATTAATATTTACAGTTGAAATAAATGGCGTACAGATAAATGAAATCAGGATTCACTAAAATGGTTATTAACTGTGTACATTATATTTGTTACATACAATGACTTACATGAGGTTTATAATTATAAGCTATAAGCTATGCGGAAAGTATTTTATAGATGAATCTAGTTTGGCTTATTTAAGGACCACACGACAAATGTACAGTTCAGTGCGGTTAAAAGTGACGTACAGAAAAATAGGAAAATTTGTTGGCCAAAATATTTATTAAAATTGCAAGTGAAGATGAAATGGGATCATATGTTTTTTGAATGCAAATAAACGGGAATTAAAGTGGCGACGTTAAAAATATACACCTGTATCTCTAACAATGATCCCACACCCGGCCATATCGCCAAACACAGATAAATTTAAATTAATATTGCCCACTATCAAAATTATAAATAATAATAATAATAAAAGAATGATTATAAAAAATAATGATAATAATAAATAAATAAAGATATAGCCAAACTTCTGTTCACTGTCATAGAAATCTTTTAAAGTATTTTTAAAAAAAAAATTGTTGTTCAGTAAAGTGTTGGAGGGGGGGGGGGGGGTCCCAGCATCCCCTCTTACCACCCTCACCTAAAATATATATTCGCTTATGTTTTGTTCACATGAAAATAAAAATCATAGTCGTTTAAATATACCGCTTAATGCTTATTTATGTATTATAATACCATAATTTGTTTTTCCTCTCCTTTCTTATGGTGTTTGTATATTTTTAACCTGTCCCCCTTTTACAATATTCAGTCAAATATTTATTACATTGTACATTTTAGAGAACAAAGTCATTGTCATAGTCGCACGTACGTACAGCGCCAGTTTAGTACAGACATGACACTGTGTAGTACAGTACAGAGTCTTTGAGTGTTTCTCGTAGTTTGAGGGGGGAACTGATTATATTTATAGGCCAGGAAAATCAAATTAGCATTCTTAAATGTGTATTTTGAGAAAAATTAAGATATCGTTACTGAATTTTGCTTCTCAAGTGAACAATTTAACTTGCGAAATTCAATCGTGACTGTCTGGGGGCCTATTTTGTTGAATTTGAACACTGCAATAAGAACAATCTAAAAATGTGAATAGATAGAATGATAGACAGATTTATGGAGTTGGAGATTCTTCTGACATATCGGGATGAAGTTCCTTCTTTAAGCTGCAGCAAGGATGCAAATACCCACATTGAAACACACATGCAGGAACAAAATACAGACGTCTCGACACACTGGATGTTTTCTAGGCGGTCCGCGCTCGGTGTAAACAAAAACAGCAAGTGCGTGTGACCTGACTATTTCACTGTTCACAGTTCCTGAGAAGTTAGTCGACGTTTTACACTCGTAAGTAGCCATGGCCGATACTGCCGCACCAGCAAAGTCCCCAGCCAAGAAGAAGGCCGCAAAGCCTAAGGTGCCTGCTGCCCACCCCAAGTACATTGACATGATCAGCGCTGCCGTTGCATCTCTGAAAGAACGGGGTGGCTCATCCCGACAGGCCATTCTTAAGTACATCATGGCCAACTACAAAGTAGGCAACGATGTTAACTCCATCAACGCCCACCTGAAGATGGCCCTGAAGAATGGTGTCAAAAAGGGTGCTCTGAAGCAAGCAAAGGGCACAGGCGCTAGTGGCTCTTTCAAACTTGGAGACAAACCCAAGACCGAAAAGAAGCCTAAAGCCAAAAAAGTCGCCAAACCCAAGGCAGCCAAGCCCAAGAAGGCCGCCGCCAAGCCCAAGAAGCCAGCCGGAGAGAAGAAGGCCAAGACACCCAAGAAGAAGGCAGCAGCTGCCAAGAAACCAGCCGGACCCAAGAAAGCCAAGTCCCCCAAGAAAAAGGCAGCCCCCAAGTCACCAAAGAAGGCAGCAGCCAAGCCCAAGAAGGCCAAGACCCCCAAGAAGGCAGCAGCCAAGAAAACCAAGACTCCCAAGAAAGCAGCCGCCAAGAAATAAGCAGTCGGACTTGTCTGCTTGAACCAAAAAAAAAAACAAAACTAAAAGCCCTTTTCAGGGCTACCCACATTTTTAGAAAAGATGCCTCAATATCAGTCGTTAATAAAACGTGTGTGAAATTCTCTTATGTCTAACTTTGTATAGTAAATAGTGTTAAAATTTCTAAATCATCTTACAAATGCCCTCATTGTACATATTAAAACTCGATAGCACTGTAAACCCAGGGTGAACTGGGATGATAAGATGAAATCAATATAATCATACATTAATGTTTGAAAATAGCCTGCAGGCATATTACTATATTCTCCTATGAATATCCTGAAACACTTACATATTAAGTAAGTAAAATTTATGAACATTTTATTTTCAGGTTAAAAAAAAATAGATATATATATATATATATATATTTATATATATGTATAAACAGAACCCCCCACACTCATTCAGAATTCAACTATTTTAAATCATGCAATACGCAAGTCTGAGTATAGGTGTTATGCCCATAACTTTCACGCCTCACACTCGGCATAAAAAGGTGCATACTTTGTTGCATTAATTTCGACGACTGTGATTTTTCATGCAAATGTCCCGTAGCTTTTACATGGTTAAAAGATTCCTGAGAGCTAAACACCCTCATTTAATTACAGGTTTATTTACATATTTACATGGTACAGATGACACAATTCAATATTATATTATTTCTACATATAATCAGGGTCTAGGTCTTGGACCTAAAGTTTGAC